CTCTCCACTACCGTTTGATATATTCTGCAGCAAAGCAATTGGATAAAGAAATGAGAAGTGTGGGGCGCCTGGGTGGCTCAGTGGGTTATGCCTCTGCCTTCGGCTCAGGTCATGATCTCAGGGTCCTGGGATTGACCATGCATTGTGCTCGCTGCTCAGCACGGAGCCTGCTTCCCCCCTCTCTCTGCCTGCCTCTCTGCCTGTTTGTGATCTCTGTCAAATAAATAAATAAAATCTTTAAAAAATAAATAGCTAAATAAATATTAAAAAAAAACAAAGAGAACATAGAAAAACCAAAGAAAGAAAAAAAGAAGCCAAAGGCTGCTTTTGAGAGGGGGGAAGGACTTCGTTGACATCTCAGCTAGATGGTTACCTCCATGAAGCGCTTTAGGCAAAAGCATTTTAACACACACCTGATTATAAGTGCTCCCCGTCTTCCAATACATCCCAGCAAGGGAGCTGACAACCAAACCCAATGGAGTAGAGAGGAGGAGAGCCCAGGTGGGAGGACCAGCCTGGGAGAGGCAGAGGGACTCCATCCTCTGTAAAACCACAACGGGACTGGGAAGAAGGTTACGTTACTCCCGTAGATGCAGGACTGTAGGTCGGAAGAATGTAAACCAAGAGTGGTGGTTAAAGTTATTTCCTGGACATGAACGACCATGGACACCAAAGCTCTCCCTTGGGCTCTATCCGCTGTAGCCTCTACCAGCAGCCGCTCAGCAGTAGTACAACACAGGTAGTACCCGCTCTCTGCCTGAGGGCCTTGAATGATCCCACAGAAGCAGTCACGATGGCAGAGTGGGAGCTCAGTCACACACTGTTCCGAGCATGGATTCACCCCTTGCTACCCCGGGCAAAGCCATTCGACTCATCTGGGACTCAGTTTCCTCACTAATAAAGAACAGCCTCAGGAGACTCGTAAGCTGTAATTAACATGTAATTAGCATAATTAACTCAGCGACACCCCCAGACTCCCACAAGTCCAGACGTCCGCTCATCTTGAACCTGGAGCCACGGCCTCCCCGACTGTCCTTCATTTTTCTTTTTGTTTTCCTTTTTCACGTAGTTCTCAGTGATTCATCAGTTGCATATAACACCCAGTGCTCATCTCATCACGTGCCCTCCTCCATGCCCACCCCCCAGTGACCCCATGCCCCCATACACCTCCCTTTCTGCAAACCTCAGTTTGTTCCCCAGAGTCAAGATCTTTATTTTAGGCCTAGAGGCTGGGAAGGATTGAGGAACATACCCCAAGTGGCTGTGGAAAACGCTCTTTTATTAAAATGGGGGAAATGGGGCACTTCATTCTTTCAGAGGGTGTCTTTGGTCCTTGGGCACTGGCTAGTGGACACGGAGAGCCTGGGGGCACAGCGCGGAGCTCAAAGAATAGACCCGAATCAGTAACAGAGAAAGGAGAGGGGAACGCACTAGGACCCGGACGGGATGAAATACCGACTCACCTCCTCGCCTCCTCACCTACCAAACCAGAGCCTGCTCCCCAGCCCACGGGCAGCCGCACACTGAGGGTCTTTGGGGAATCCTGGGCCGGTGACGTTGTAGCTTCCCATTGGCTGGCCTGGCCTCGGAATGGGCAGACCCAGGACAGACGCCGAGCAGCTGCGTCGGCACCTGTGAACTGCCCTCCCACCTGTCCCCACGCTACTGGTGAGGACGCTGCCCGCCGTCCCCAGCCTCCGCGGGGCTGTCCCATAGCAATAATCGCGCGTGTGTCCTTACTTACACGGCCCGTATTTACTGACCACTGTCTGATGCCGTTGCTGATGTCGGTTCAATCCACTGTCCCCGTGAAACTCTTACTTGGATTCCCCGTGAGCTCACAGTAAGCCGTCCTGTTAGTTGCGAGAAGAACGTTCTCCAGAATTCTCCCCTTCTACAGTGTCCATCCTGGGTAATGGAAACACCAGCCCCTTTGTGCCGTGAGTCTCCACGTGGATGGTGGTCCCCCAGTTTTCCTGTCCTCGCCATCGCAGCTTTATTGAGGTATAATTGACAACACTGTTTAAGTTGGAGCTTTGTGAGGTGTTGATCCGATAGGCTGATTACTGCAGAATGATTACCAGCTGTGGTAAGGACAGAGCCCACTTCAGTATTCCTGAACTTTCCCCCAGATTAGAATCACCTGGGGGGCCTTGTAAAACCTCCATGCCTGAGCCACACCCTGTTCCAGTCCGGAGGTCTGAAGCCCCCCAAGGTAAGACGCTGTGCCACAAAGCCTGGGGACATTGTCACACTTTCAGGCCCGGCTCTTCCCCAGGCGCATTCCCCTAATGCTTTCGCAAAGGGGTGTCTCTGGGCCTTACGGGAAACGTGTCAGTGGGTGGATTCTCCAGCTTTTTGTTGCCCAGCTCTGAGCCTGCTGACCCCAGACAAAGCCTTTGGAGCAGCCGGGGCTCATTCGCTGTGGATCCTGGTGGTGGTGGCTCACCATCGGCTCCAGCTGTTAAATTCTGGGCTCAGAGAACAAATTAAATGGAGATTTTGACTTTGAGGGACCTTTGTTCTTCTCTACCCCTTAAGGATGGTGTGAGGTTTGGGTGGGCTGAGGATCCCACCTGCTCTCACTTTTGTAACGAAACCCTTCTGGAGAGCAGAGAAACCAACACAGGTAGTACCTGCTCATTTCGTGTAGAAAAAGATGCTTTTTCCAAAAGAAAAATTGTGTGGCTGCTTCTAGATCTTTGAGTTCCAAATGCTGTCCTAATACTTCAATCATGAACAGCAGGGTTTAGACCTGAGAGTTCAGTCGGTGCTGTGATGTACAGTCCCTTCCCGTGGGGTCGGAGCGGACGTCCTGCCCACCACGAGACAGACCATGCAGGGGACCACTCTCTAGAGCAATGCTCTTGGTCAGTCTGCTGGGTGTCCAAGAAACGTCTCCTTTAACTTGTTCTAGTGTATTAGTGGACTAAACCCATTTAAAAAAGTTATTTCATTTTTAAAATTTTTATTTTCTATTTTATGTTATTTTATATTTTATTTTGTTTTGTTTTATTTTGTTTATTGCTCCATGCAATACGTGCCCTCCTTAATACTCTAAGAGTGTTCCTTGAACACCAGGTGAGGGGTGCCTGGGTGGCTCTGTTGGTTTCGGCTCAGGTCGTGATCTCGGGGTGGTGAGATTGAGCCCCATGTCAGGCTCTGCACTGACAGATTCTTTCCCTCCTATTCACGCTCCCCCCCCCAAATAAATAAAATCTTAAAAAAAAACTCCAAACAACCAAAAATGAGGTGATTTCCCTTTTCCATCCCACTGTTGAATTATCTTCCTTGGAAATGTCCCCTGGACACTTTTTTACAGACAAGGAATGTATTTCTTCTTCTTTTTTTAAGACTTTATTTTCAGTAATCTCTACACCCAGCATGGGGCTCGAACCCACAACCCAACATTGAGAATTGCATGTTCCACCCGCTGAGCCAGCCCAACGCCCCTGAGATTTCTTCCTTCTGAACAGTCTCCTATACTAGTCTACTGGTAAATAAGTAACACTTGAAAACTTTTCAAACTGCATTCATGTATACATTTTTATTTAAATTCTTCCAATATCCTTAAAGGCCAGTCAGATATTTTCCAGAGACAATGTTAGCATGACAGATTCAGAGACAGGAGCAGGGGCAGCAGGGAGGTGGGCGGAGCACTGCCCCTAATTCAGTGACTAATTCATGTCTAACATATGGCCCTTAAAGATGCTTAGAGGTCATGCCTCACACCATTTTCTAGAACCAACTGGGCCATTCCAGACTCAGAATGGCCCACAGAATAAGGCCAACATTTCCAAAGGAAGAAAATGTTCAGGGAGCCACCACATCACTCTGTCCATCTTGCCTCATCCCAGCAGTCCATGCTCCAGTCCTGTACGATCCTCAGGACTGTGTTCTTCACCACTGGGCCCTCCAGCCTCGTCGTCACATCTGGGGCAAAATTCTGTTTCGTCTCCCTGTGAAGGGTAAGAATGGAGCTTTGTTCCCTCACATTCGGTTTTCTTTTGCAGTCCTAGAGAATCACACAGAACCCCAAGGACAGTCACCACCCCGGAGACCCCTCTGGTCCCCCACAGCAGACTGAGACCAGCCGTGCTGCTCTTGGGGAGTCAGGGATGGAGTCCAAGGGCCTCAGTTCAGCCCCTTACTGAGTGGTGAGCGGCCCCCACCAGCTCTGTTACTCACATTCTGGTGGAGTCTCCTCCCTTGCTGGGCTGTGGTTGGTCTGTGTGACCAGCAGTATAAGGCAGAAGTGGTCAACATGAAATAATCAAAGACTGGGGTCTTTCTTGGGTGCTCTATCTCTCTCTCTCCCTTATTCACTGTCATGAGCAGCCCTACATGGGTCAGTGTGGAAACTAGACTCCGTCGAACTCCAGTCAGGCCCCTACCTGAGGCCTCAGGGAAGACCATGAGCTAGAACCAGCCAGTCAACTGCTTCCATATTTCCGACCCTCAGAAATTTTGTAAGGAAAATCATGTGTTGTGTCAAGTGACTAAACTTTGAGGTATTTTGTCACAGGGCAACAGACAAGGACTATGCCAGGTGTCATTACAACCTCCACCCAGAATCCACGGCTGACTGAGAAGGTCCCGGTTTCAGGCACGGGGCTTCATGGACACACTTCCTTTCCATCCTGACATCTCCACTGAGGAAGCCGCCAGCCCATTTCACAGATGCAGGAACAGACTCAAAAAGGTAAAGGAACCTGTTCACAGTCCTATGGCTGGTGAGTGGTAATTAATCAGTTAGGACCAGGGTGGAAAGTGAAAGATAGGAAGAATTTAAAATCAGATGGGAGAATCCAGGTCAACTTTCCCATCAGGCAGAAGCAGGAGGTGGAGTCTGATCAGCCACTAAAGGAGACTCTAAACCCCAAGGAAACGAGACAAGGGACACTAACAACTTCTTCACTAGCCTTTTGGGTTCAGAGTCTCCCTCTTTCTGAGGAGCTTTGCTTGGGTGGCTGTTTCTGCGGAGGGAGCCCAGCAGAGACTTACAGAACAACCTTCTCTTTCCCCTTGCGCTGCTGGAAGGCCTCCCGCAGGAGCTCTCTGCCCCTGAGCCCGATGTCATTCTTGCTCACGTCCAGGTATCTGAGGCTCTGGTTGTGCAGGACCATGGAAGCCATAGCCTGGCAGCAGACAGCGGTGAGCAGGCACTTCTCCAGCCTGGGGGGGGAAGCAGACAGTAGATGAGTCGCTGTGCCCCACATCTGAGAGCTCAGCCCATCCCAACCCTCTAAGCCCCAACTCCAAGAAGTTGAGCCACATTACCTCTTTCCAAATTGTCACCGCGCATTAACTTTGTCCATTCAAAAAATATTTATGGAGCACTCCCTGTGTATCAGGCTCTGCCCTGGGCATTGTTGATGCCACAGTGAAGAAAACCTCCCCGGCTTCCCGGAGTGCATATGTGATTGGGGGTGGGGCGAGGAGGCAGGTTACCAAATAAATCTATTCGAATAGCATGGTTGATTTCACTCTTCTAGTGTGCAAGTGGTTCTGGTTCCTCTGTGGACAGGTTCCCCTGTGCTCACGGCTCAGCAGGAGAGGCCGGCCCGGAAAGGAGCCAGGCCATAGGAGCACCACTTATCAGAAATCCAGAGCGGGCATAAAAGACAAAGTGGTGTGTAGCTGAATGAAAGGTACAGAAAGGGGGCACTTGGGATCCCATTTTTGTTTCTGTTTAAATACTATATTTATTTATTTATTTGTTAGATATATAGAGAGAACACACAAGCAGGGGGAGAAGCAGGCTTCCCACTGAGCAAGAAGCCCTATGTGGGACTCAATCCCAGGACCCTGGGATCATGACCTGAGCCGAAGGCAGACGCTTAACCAACTGAGCCACCCAGGCATCCCGGGTCCCATTTTTGAACACAAAGTACAATCTCCCTTGGAGCAAGGCTATGACAAGCAGTTTAAAGCAGACAGGATAGAGGGGCCCTGGGGGTCCCTGCATCTCCTGTGTGTGCATCCTTGGCTTTCTTTCCAGTGGCCTCCCCCGCCCTTCTGCTAGCTGAGAAGTGACAAGCTGGAAACAGCTGCCCAAGCCAAAAGGGCATGCACCAGCTTCTTGTTAGTGCGGAATGGCCCAGACCCTGTCCCCCAGGGAGGCACCTGCTTTTCCCTTGGCGCACCAGCCGAAACATTCCTTAATCTTGATCAGTCACGCAAATCACTTCAACAGAAGGAGGAGGGAGAGTCGTTCTAAAATAATTCTAACCATGAGTAAGACCTGCAGGGGGGTGAGGGCCTTTTTTTTTTTTTTTTTTTTAAATGAGGAGAATAAGCAATAGAAGTTGGGAATCTTCTTGGGGAAAGTGTAGATGGCTTTTCTACAAGACCAGAATCCCACAGAATGAAATCTAGGGGATTTTTAGATCAAGAAGTTTGGAGTGGGGGACGGTCCATGAATTTTATACTCAGCCAAGTCACTGCTCATCAGTGAACACAGATTTAAAAAGTCCTCTCACACAATCAAAGGCTTAGAGGACACCACATCAATGCTCATCTGGAAATTTGTTTCCTTCTTGAAATTATACTTCACACAATCTAAGAGCGAAATCAATGTCTAAAACCCAAGATTCAGTTTCTAGAGAAAAGGAATCATGACCTGGGCTGCCTGGCGTCTTGGCTGGTAGCACATGGGACTCTTGATCTCAGGGTTGGGAGTTTGAGCCCTAAGTTGAGCGTAGAGATTACTTAAAATTAAAAAAAAAATCTTGAAAAATACTTTTTTTTAAGAGAGAGCGCGAGAGAGTGTGAGGAAGGGCAGAATGAGAGGGAGGAGAGTCTCCAGCAGGCGTCATACTGAGAGCAGAGCCCGACATGGGGCTCTATCTCACGACCCAGAGATCGTGACCTAAGCCAAAATCAAGAGTCTGGTGCATGACTGACTGAGCCGCCCAGGTGTCATAAAAAAAAAAAATCATGAGTTACAGTAAACACTGAATTTCCTTAGACTAGCTAAGTATCAACAAAAATGAAATCCATTATCAGCACGAACCTAAGAAACCAGAGAGGTAACAGAAAACAATGATTGTGATGATCGAGTCTACAAACCCAGATTACACTAATAGGGAACAGAAAACGTGGGCAGAAAAGAGGCAAAACCTTTTCATCCACTGATCACCAGAGAAGAGCTGTTTCCAAATCTTTTCCAAATACCTAATGTAACCACGATACGAATTAAAAATAGGATGAATCTTGTCAAATCGTTGGCTGGTGTGCATGTGAGCACCAAGACCATGTAGGAGAAGAAGACAAAAAATTATATGTATAAAAGAATCCCTAAGTACAAAGGTCGATTTCGGAAGACCAGCCATGTCAGGCATGGGTCCACAGCCAACAAACACACTTCTGCTGAATGCAAGACCATTTCCTAGAACCAGGGTCCTCCAAGTGCACCATGCATGGGAGCTGCCTGGGCGTGAAGGTCGAGGGCTCAGCAGGCTCACCCCCAGAGCTCCACACGACCCAGCAGCCCCACCTCCGTGTCCCCATCTAAGGACCTGGAACCAGGGTCTCCAAGAGACATCAGCATCCTTATTCCCTACAGCAGGACCCACAGTAGCTACCACACAGAGACAGCCTCCTTGCCCACCAACAGGTGAATGGATAAAGAAAATGTGGTATTTGCACACAATGGGAAACTATCCAGCCCTAAGAAAGAAGGAAATCCCGCTGGATGCACCTGGAGGACATTGCGCTGAATGAAATAAGCCAGACAGAGAAACAAAGAGGGCAATGATTTGCGTCTCTAACAATTCCCCAGGGGAAGAAGTTCCCAGTCTGGGGAACTCCTTTCCCAACCCTGCACTGAGGCTGCCCAGTCCTCCAACTAAATGGAGGAAAAAATCCAGAAATGCAAAAACCCTTTCCCGTATTCTGCTCAGAGAATTCTACAGACCATTGTCGCAAAAGTGGAGATGGGGTAACTCACTCCAGAATCTGGAGGCCAGACTGGGCTTTCGTGAGGGCCTCAAAGAGCAGGATAACGCCATCATCCTTCAGGCTATTAAAACCAAGGTCTAAGCTTCTCAAATTTTTGTTTTTATCCAGAGCGGAGACCAGGTCCGGACAGCAGTTGGAGGTCAGGGCACAGTTTCTCAGGCTGCAAAGAAACACATGTCAAGAAAACCAACCAAAACACCTTTAGATTTTACTCCTTTCTTGCCTTTTTCTTTTTTTTTTATAACAGCGTTATCAAGATATTACTAATAACACCAATATCATTCACCCATTTAGATTGTACAAATCAACATTTTTAGTATATTTACAGAGGTGCACATTTGCCACAATTTTAGGACATTTTCATCACCCCAAGAAGGAAAACGCTGTACCCTTTCAATTCCTAATTTCTTCCCCAGCCTACCCCCCAACCCCAGCAGTCTCTATCTGGTTGTGGATAGTCATCCAAATGAAATCCAAATCTCAACGACATCTAAAAAAAATTGTTTATTTCATTTACCATATTTTTTTCCTAAAGATTTTTATTTACTTGTTAGAGAAAGAAAGCACACAGGCAGGGGGAGCAGTAGGTAGAGGGGGAAGCAGGCCCCCCGCTGAGCAGAGAGCCTGATGCGGGGCTTGATCCCAGGACCCTGGGATCGTGACCTGAGCCGAAGGCAGACACTCAACCCACTGAGCCCCCCAGGTGCCCCGACTGAAATATATTTGAGATGCATCCATATGTAGCGTATTTCAATGCGCTGTTCCTCTCTGCCATTGAATCACTTCCGTCACACGGATACAGCACACACTCTTTATTCAGGCCTCAGCTGATCACTGAGGCGGACAGAGACTCCTGGCTCCAGCCCCTTTCCGTCCCTGGCTCACCTTTGCTCCTGCTAAGGCCAAGAAAAGACCAAATCGCCATCCCGTTTGACTAAGGTAAGATAACGAGTCATTGCTCCTGCTGAGACAGAAGAAAAAGACCAGTTGCCCAGTCCTGTTTGAACAAGAAAAGAAAGAGAAACAGCCCCCACCCCCAGGTGATTTAGGACTCTCCTGAGATGCCTCCACACGGATTATACTTCCACAGGAAAGGGCCATTTGGCCTTGGGGAACTGGGAAAGTGTCCGGGCCTTGAGAGACCTGGAAAATACCCAGCTACCATCCCCCATGGCCCGTAACCATAAAAACTCACTCCTAACCCTGTCAGGTGCTCAGTCTTTGGGAACGATCCCACTGAGCCCGCTGGTGTTAATAAAGCTGTGTTCTCCCATCTCTCCGTGGGCCGTTTGGGTTTCCTCCGTCACCTCGGATTTCTCGCAACAATCAACACTTAGGTTGTTTCCACCTTCTGACTCTCGTAAACATGCCGCTGTGACCATCTGGGCACATTTCCGTGGGAATGTATGTTCCTGTTTCTGCTGCACAGGCACCTTGCGGGGGAGTCACTAACTCCCGTGTTCGGTCCACGTTTAACCTTGTGAAGAGCCGCGGGACGTTTCCAGAAGCCCCGCACCGCTCCCTGCTCTACTCCGGGAAGCTGAAAGTGTCATGGGCTCAGGGGATATTTCGTACCACTTTCTCCGTTTCTGGTTTTACGAGCTAGCACATTTCTTTATGGTTTAAGACCATCTGAGTTTATCTTCTGTTAATAATAGACAGAAGCCCCCGACATCAGTGTTCTGAGTACCATTTCAACTAGTATGGGGGTGTCCCCCCACACTAAGAAACAGCTCCCAGACACTCATAGGATCAGAGAAATGAACTCAATTCTGACACTATGCGCAGATAGCCAGATTGTGCAGGCTAAGGGCTTAGTCCTGCTGGAAGGCTCTCCCACCTCACTCCTCCCGGACACCGGCCCGAAGCCCAGGCTGTGTGGTTCCTTCCACTGCAGGTTCCAACCCCATCCCAGGCTGCCAGTCACCAGTCAGGTTCCCAGGACCCCTCCTTGGATTCATTTAATTTGCGGAAGCAGCTCCCAGCACTCAGGAAAGCCATTTACTCGTGACATTACCATTTTACTACAAAAGGATGGAACCCGGGAAGACCAGATAGGAAAGACACGTGGGAGGAGGCATGGGGAGAGGACACAGAGCTTCTGGGTCCTCTCCAGGTGGGCCACTCGCCCAGCATCGCACCCAGAAGCTCTCAGACCCCGTCCTTTGGGGCTTCCATGGTAGCTACATTACACAGGTGTGATTAACTAGATCATCCGCTGTGGGTGGCTGGTTCCACCTCCAGCCCCTCTCCCCTCCCCAGAGGTCATGGGGAAGGACTTAAAGTTCTAACCCTCTAATCACAAGGCTGGTCCTTAGGGCAGCAACACCCCATCCTTGGGTGCTTTCCCAAAGTCACTTCATTAACATAATAAAACATACTTTCCTAGCTCTCACCACATAGCTCTCACCACTCTCTCCGAGGGTTTAGGGAGCTTTGTGCCAGAAACAGGGACAAAGACCAAATACACATTTCTTGTGTTGTAAATCACAATATCACAGATCCTGACGCCTAAGGGAAGTCATTTAAAGAATTCACGATTGAGGGGCGACTGGCTGGGTCAGTGGGTTAAAGCCTCTGCCTTCAGCTCAGGTCAGGATTCCAGGGTCCTGGGATCGAGTCCCACATCGGGCTCTCTGCTCAGCAGGGAGCCTGCTTCCTCTCTCTCTCTGCCTGCTTCTCTGCCTACCTGTGATCTCTGTCCAATAAATAAGTAAAATCTTAAAAAAAAAAAAGATTTCATGATTGAGATTATGTGCACACACACAGCCGGTTCTGTCAATCCCTCAATTCTCCTCCGGGAACCCTCAAGAAGAGGCTCTCTGGGACTCACACCAGCCTCTGTAGAGGACACGTGGAACACTGTAAGGCGCTGCAAAGCTCCTTCACTCCTTCGTCCTTCAGGGCACTTTCTGCCAAGCTCAGACGGGTCAGCATCTCATTACTCTTGAGGGAGGAGGTAAGAATTTTACAGGTAAGCAGCGCGAGCTCACAATTCTCCAATCTGGGGGGCAGAAACACACAGACGGAATCACTTTAATTCATGTGCACGCCCAGACTTTCTTTGCCCCGCACTGAGAGATGAACACTGCCATCTGGGCTCCCCTTTTCCGTGTGAAAAGCCTCATCACACCTCTGTTACTCCCTCTTAGGGCTAACAAGTCCCGAAGAAGAGGGTAGCGGCCTTCCTGTGAGACTAGGGGAAAGGAGGAGACGTGGGTCAGGAGAACGGTTATAGGGATAGGAAGGACGGGAAGGAGACCACTGACAGTTAAAGACTATGCACTGGGTACTGTGGGTGGGCAGTATCCAGACTCACAGACACTGGAGTCTGTGAGAGGCAGATTTTGCAAGCTTTAAAAATCAATGCTTACTCAAACAACAACAACAACAACAACAACAACAACATGTATACGCTTTTAAAAAGTTGCATTAAAGACAGGAGTAGGCATTCATCGTAGAGGTCATGGAAACATTTTCATAGTAATGAAGGAAATAGAGGTTAAAACAATGAGATGCTATCTCCTGCTTAGCCGACTGGCAAGGCCAGTGGGGGGAATACAGATGGGGACGACGGCCGAATGGGGACTCGGAGGTACGGGACAGGGCATCCAGCTGCTGGTGCAACCATAAGCTGGTGCAAAGACGCCAGACACGAGCTGGTGAGATGGAGGAGGGATGTTCTCCGTGACACGGAGACCCCACTGCTGGAGTGTGCATCACAGCGTGTGCACATGGACTCTGTGTGTGCATGCGTGTGTGCAAAGAGCCAAACCTCAGCGGCAGGTAGGACGGAAATCTACATTGTTGCGTATTTACACAATTGTTACCATTCCTCTGTGACGGGGAATGGGGTTCTGAAGCAGCTGAGCACAAAAATGTCCGTGGATCAGAAAAAGAACATGTCCTAGCCGAGGCCACTTGTGTGAAATTCAAAGCAATGCGGAACTGTGGTGCTGTGTGTACACGTGTGAGAGGGGCCTGGGTGGCTCAGTCAGTTGGGCGTCTGCCTTCAGCTCAGATCAGGATCCCAGGCTCCTGGGATCGAGCCCCGTGTCGGGCTCTCTGCTTAGAGGAGAGTCTGCTTCTCCCTCTCTCTTTCTCACAAATAAATAAATAAAATCTTAAAAAAAAAAAAAGAATATACACATGAGGGGCCTGCTCGGCCCAGCTGAAGGAGGCTATCATGAAGAGCGGGGCCGGGATCAATACAAATGTTGAGGAAGGAAAACTGCTGGAGAGGTTCTAGGTCATAAGCGGGAGGACAGATAAACCAGGCTCTCTGTAGCTCTGTAGTCCAACTAACGCTCTTGTCCCAGAAGCACTCAACTCACCAAACTCATGAACAACAGTCATGACAACAAGAGTTACGACAGCCTCTCCAGTCGATCCACTGGCAGGCAATACATCCCAAATGTCTCCAGGCAGTTACTTCTTTTTTTTTTTTAAATTATTTTTATTAACATATATTGTATTATTTGCCCCAGGGGTACAGGTCAGTGAATCACCAGGTTTACACACTTCACAGCACTCACCATAGCACATACCCTCCCCAATGTCCATAACCCAGCCACCCTCTCCCAACCCCCCTCCCCCCAGCAACCCTCAGTTTGTTTTGTGAGATTAAGAGTTTCTTATGGTTTGTTTCCTTCCCAATCTCATCTTGTTTCATTTTTTCATTCCCTACCCCCCACGACACCCCCACCCTGCCTCTCAAATTCCTCATATCAGGGAGATCATATGAAAATTCTTTCTCTGGTTGACTTATTTCTTTTCTTTTCTTTTTTTTTTTATTTTCAGTATAACAGTATTCCTTGTTTTTGCACCACACCCAGTGCTCCATGCAATCCATGCCCTCTCCAATACCCACCACCTGGTTCCCCCAACCTCCCACTCCCCACCCCTTCAAAACCCTCAGATTGTTTTTCAGAGTCCATAGTCTCTCATGGTTCACCTCCCCTTCCAATTTCCCTCAACTCCCTTCTCCTCTCTAACTCCCCTTGTCATCCATGCTATTTGTTATGCTCCACAAATAAGTGAAACCATATGATAATTGACTCTCTCTGCTTGACTTATTTCACTCAGCATAATACCCTCTAGTTCCAACCATGTCATTGCTAATGGGAAGAGTTCATGGTTTTTGATGGCTGCATAGTATTCCATTGTGTATATATACCACATCTTCTTTATCCATTCATCTGTTGATGGACATCTAGGTTCTTTCCATAGTTTGGCTATTGTGGACATTGCTGCTATAAACTTTTGGGTGCACGTGCCCCTTCAGATCACTACGTTTGTATCTTTAGGGTAAATACACAGTAGTACGATTGCTGGATCGTAGGGTAGCTCTATTTTCAACTTTTTGAGGAACCTCCATGCTGTTTTCCAGAGTGGTTGCACCAGCTTGCATTCCCACCAACAGTGGAGGAGGGTTCCCCTTTCTCCGCATCCTTGCCAGCATCTGTCATTTCCTGACTTGTTAATTTTAGCCATTCTGACTGGTGTGAGGTGGGATCTCATTGTGGTTTTGATTTGTATTTCCCTGATGCTGATTGATGTGGAGCACTTTTTCATGTGTCTGTTGGCCATCTGGATGTCTTCTGTGCAGAAATGTCTATTCATGTCCTCTGCCCATTTCTTGATTGGATTATTTGTTCTTTGGGTGTTGAGTTTGATAAGTTCCTTATAGATTTTGGATACTAGCCCTTGATCTGATATGTCCTTTGCGAATCTCTTCTCCCATTCTGTCAGTTCCTTTTTGGTTTTGTTGGCTGCTTCCTTTGCTGTGCAAAAGCTTTTGATCTTGATGAAGTCCCAGTAGTTCCTTTCTGCCCTTGCTTCCCTGGCCACTGGTGATGTTTCTGGGAAGACGTTGCTCAGGCAGGTACTTATTAGCATTAGCGTTTGTTACTTCCAAGGTCTTTGGCAAGATCAACCAACTTTTAGGGGTAACTGAGCAGTCTTCCAGCCTATGGAGTCCACATAAAAATGCCAAGCCTGAACTCCCGGGGAAAATGGTACCCACGTAGTTGCATATATCCCATCTACTGTCCCACATCTTTGTTCTTCATGCAAGAGCAACTCCAGGAAGGATGCTCATTTTCTCCAGCTGGTAAGCGTGCATCAAATTCAGCATCTTAGTCACAAAGTATCAAATAATAGACACTTGGGGCCATAACCAGCAGGCACAGGCTTACAACTGGGCTCTATCTATGAAACAGGACCTCAATTTTACATTTCTCTGTCAAACAATCTTCAAGACAAAGAACTGAGATTTCACTCCCATGAGATCACAGCCGCCATCTTGTTAAGCGAGATTTCCACCTGACATCGACCTTTACCCGACTACCGTGCTGAGCCACCTCTGGGTCTAGCCACCTAAGCCTCCAGGCTCCACTCAGCTCTGACAGGTGTGAAGGACCAGAGCTGGCTGGTGGAAACAGGAGGTTGCCCAAGCTTTATTGGGACAATGGAATACACAGAAAGTCTGGTGAGGATGCTGGTAAGTGTTTACTGACTCTGGAGAAAAAAGCCCTGATGTGCAGTGTTTGCCAATGTCTAGTGTGATGCTCCCACAGTGGCTGATTCACTGACATGGAGTTGTTGAACGCACAGTGGGAGCACCCCACTGCACAAATGCAACAACCTCAGGAACGCGCACTGGGTGTTGGCTGACTTTGGCTGTGGGCCAGGTCTCTTGGCCACCTGGTTTTGTACAGCCTGTGAGCTAAGAACAATGTGTGTGTATATCAAGTCATCACATTGTACACCTAAAAAAAAAAAAAGCCAAATAAAACTAACAATGAGATCAAAAGAAGGATGATAGGAAGACTGCACATGTAACCCCACCTCGGAAATAACAGTCTGGGCACAAGGGTCTCACCAGACCCCAGGCTCATCTTACCTCAGACACTGCAGATAGCACTGTGGACATTTCAAGGCTGTGCACAGAAACTCCATGGCCTCACGTCTCACTTCCGTGCCTTGTATTTCCAAGTAGCTCAGATACTGGTTTTCAATCAAAACTTGGATTAAGTCTTTGTTCAGCATGGAGGGATGCACACATCTGAAGCTGGAGAGGGAAACAGTGCCTAGTTACAATCAGATCTCATCTCCTTACTGAGGTGTGATTGACACATAACAATGTGTAAGCTTAAGCTGCAGGACATGTTGATTGGATCCATTAATATACTGCAAAATGGTGACTGCCTTGGCATTGGGTAACACTGTCATCCTGTCACAAAATTATCATTTCTTTTTTTGTGTGTGTGATGAGAATCCTTTGCAGGATACTGTACAATATTGCTGACTGCTGCCACAATGCTGACGATCAGATTCCCAGAATTTATTCGACTTCAACCTGGAGCTCTGTACATTTTGACCAACACCTGTCCATTTGCTCATCAGTTCTAGATTCAATTCATCTAGGAGTACATGAGGGCTTTCCTGTGAGGTCTGCACTGGGTCCTCAGCTTAGCAGGGCCTCCCTGGTTGGGTGATCCTTATGTAGGTCATGTACCTTCCAGGCTTCAGCGTCAGGGCCACAAGAGAGAGTGCTTGATGCCTTCTCCTTAAGATGGGGGTGGGGGCTAATGTACATGATACCTGTAATTGGCTTTGCACGGGGCTTGATGTACAGTGCCCACTCAGTATGTGGGTGCTATTAATAGTCGTCATAATAACAGGAGACAAAATTGGTCAGATACTGGCTAGGGACCACGTGATGTCTGGTGAGCTATTTCAAGGAATTCTGATGAGTTATTCGGTTTCTGGATCTTAAAAAGCAGAGAGTGAGAGAGAACATGGTGTAGTGGCTAGGAGAATGGACTCAAGCCAAGATGTGCATGAGATTCTTGACTCTGGGAAACACACTGTGGGTTGCTGGGGGGAGGTGGGTCAGGGGCTGGGGTAATTGGGTGACGGGCATGAAGGAGGGCATGTGATGTGATGAGCACTGGGCATTATATGCAACTAACGAATCATTGAATGTTACATCAGAAATTAATGATGTATTATATGTTGGTTAATTGAATTTAAATTTAAAAAATTAAAAAATCCATATTTTAAGGATGTATCAACAGTATCACCTTGTGCCCTAGTTTGTTCATCTGTGAAATGGGGAAAACGACTCCATTTGTATGTCCTTTTTGGAAAAATGATCTCATTAATGGGTGGAATCTCAAAAAGCAAACAAACCCAAAACTCAGAAAAAGAGATTGGGTTTTTTTGTTGTTGGTGGTGGTGGTGTTAGAGGCAGGAGGCGGAGGAATTGGGTGAGGGCGGCCAAAGGGTACAAGCTCATAGGTACCAGATGTAAAAACACTGGGAATGTGCTGTATGGCCCGAGGACTGCTGTCAGCATGGCTGGGCGGCGTATTTGAGAGTTGCCAAGAGAGAAGATCCTTCTCACCACAAGGAAGAAAACCCTTTGGCCGCTCTAGGAGGTGATGAATATTAACTTACGAAGGTGATCAATTTGCAATACATGCACGTCAAGACATTATGCCGCACACCTGAACACTTAGTGCTGTGCATCCGTTCTGCCTCCGTAAGACTGGAAGGGGAAAACAGTACACAAGGACACTTTCTGCAAGTCTAGGTGAGCAGAGAGGGCGTAGAAAAATGGAATGGGGAACAGACTCTTTTGGTGGAATTCCTTCCAGCCAAGGTCTGTTTGTACGCACATGAGTTTTTGCAGTTTACACCCAGGATGTCTCAGAGCCGCAGAAAGAACCTTCACTGACTCAGCCTCCAAAGAAGTGTTGGTCAAAGTCAGGACTTCCAAATTCTCATGTGTCCTAAACACGGAGCAGAATTCTTGCCACCAGAGAAAACACTGGTCACTGCTTTCTGGTCTATGTGCAAGGGAGGAAAGAGAACACAAATCATTGTGAGAGGTGAAACTTGAGAAAATCTACTTGTAAACCCAGGGCTGATGTTCCCAGCCCTGGTTGTGATCACAGATTCTTTCCGATTCCAGTAAGTCTTTCTCATTAAAAAAAAAAAAATGCCCAGGAATACCACTGCAAGAGTTCTCATTTTATACCAGGAAGACTTGTGCTCTTAAATAAGGATATCTAGATTTCCCCATGACTTCAGAAGAAAGAGAGTTGTTGTTTTAATCACTTAGGATTTCTATGGGGGCAGACATTGAATTATAGCTTTATCTTATATTCTTACTCTTTGCTTATAAAATTATTAAAAAAGAAAAAAGTCTATGTAGGAACAGAATAAGGGAAAATTAATTTCTTTTGGCATGGTGAGTGCAGGAAAGGAAAATCCACAGCTAGACCAATATGAGATGTAGTTGGACTCTGGAAGGACCTGCTCATTTTCCCCTTCATTTTCCCCTATGCAGTCTTTTCAGAGATGCTGGCCAAGAGACTCTGTGAGGATTTTTCTTTCATGCTGTTTGTATTAGATAGATGCAAATGAGGGGGGAACTGCTTTAATAATCTCCAGTGCACCCAGAAGACTGTAGGACACCTCACTGAAGAAGGTATACACACACGTTAAAATAGTTCTAAGACGTATTAGATGAAAAAAGAAAATTTCAGAAAACTTCTTACACTAGCATGTCATCTGCATTCAGAACGAAATCCCATAAAATAAAACCACGTGCCTTTCCCACCCATTTTAAATGCAAACACATAAAAGCAATACAAAGTATTTTGCACATATTTTAACAATTTTTATAATTATGGAAAGATAATTTTTTAAGTAAAATCAATAAAATTGATATTAAAAAAAATACAAACTCCATGTATGGGGGTGGGGGAAGTGGATACAAGTGGTCAAAGGAATATAAGTTATAAGATACGTTATAAGATGAATAGATTCTAGGGGGTGACTATCAGCTGGGACTATCAGGGACGATACCATATTGTGTATTTGAAAGTCATTTGAGAATAAAAGTTCTCATCAGACACACACACACACACACTGTAACTAGGTGAGGAGATGGATATATTAAGTAACCTTATTGTGATAATCCTTTTGCGATGTGTACATATAGAAAATCACTATGTTGTATGCCTAAACGTACACAAGGCTATACGTCAATCACAGCTCCAAAAAGCTGGGGTAAGTATACGAACCCTCTTCAAGAACTGTCCCAAAAGTTATCAACAGACTGACCAACATGAAGGAAATTTCTCACCTTTTTTTTTTAAAGATTTTATTTATTTATTTGACAGACAGAGATCACAAGTAGGCAGAGAGGCAGGCAGAGAGAGAGGGGGAAGCAGGCTCCCTGCTGAGCAGAGAGCCCGATGCGGGGCTCGATCCCAGGACCCTGGGATCATGACCTGAGCCGAAGGCAGAGGCTTTAACCCACTGAACCACCCAGGTGCCCCAATTTCTCACCTTTTAAGAGTTCTGCCAATGTTAGGTTTTAAAATTATTCAGACTTATCTCAAGACATTACGGGTAGACTTTGGAAGTCTTTGTTGGGAAGACCAACCATGTGCAACAGGGAGCCGTGGAGCTGCTCGGGGACATGGGAAGATCTTTCCTGTGCGATCATCCCACACGTGACACCCTAAGGCTCCCCGGAGAGCAACTTGGGGCTATCTGTGATAGAAAGTGAATGTGATGTGATGTGTGCACTCTGCGATTGGGCAATTCCTTTTCTAAAAACATACCCTAGCACTGGGGGTGGAAAACTTCTTCTGTAAGTGGTCGACCAGCAAATACATTCGGCTTTCATAGCCCAAGCGATTTGTGGAAGCCTCCCAACTCTGGAGTAGCCATGTGGTGGCAGTTGGAACAGATGTCATAGGCAAGCATGGCTGACATCCGATTAAGATTTATTTATAAAAACAACCAGGCTTAATTTGCTTACTTCTGCTTTGGAGAAACTCACATGTGCCTGATGAAGATGGGGCACCGTTTGACATGACAACGAAGAGAGCAGAACCTAGATGTCCCCTAACTTCAGAAGAGGTCCATTTGATTTATCTAGCCATATATCAGACTATTAGAGGATATTTTAAAAGAATCTGACAACAACCCATCAACACACTTAAGAATCACGCTGGCTTTCATGGAAAAACCACGTGTCTGGAAGAGACTGTGGCTCCTTTACACAGAGCAACTAGGGAATGAGGGAAGCACTCTAATTTTGCAGCAAAAAGGATTGTGCTCCCTCCTGTGACTCCAATACCCAGCCTAAGTCTAGTTTTCTGGCTCTTCATCATAGCCATCAGAGGTCCAATTTCAGTTTAAGTCTTAGCTTCAACCAGCTGTGTGACCTTGGACAAGTTACAAATCTACCTGACCTCCATTGCTTCCTGGTGCCCAATGGCAACGTTAAAATGAATAATTCACATAAAGTAAAAATACCTGGCACTGTGTCTGGTTCAGAGCAATGGCTAAAAAAATATGAACCAGTATGAGAACTGTACGAAAAAATGAGTGGTCAGTACAAACTGTCACTTCTTAAGAAAAAATAAGTTCACTATATTTGTTTAAATATAGATCTTCTGTGAGAGTTTCAGTTGAATGGTGGGAATAAAAATCACATTAGTAATTGTAGCTTGTTTTTATTGGTAGGAGCTAAAGGCTGGGACAGGCTTGGTGTATCATGCATATTGTCTCACTTAACCTTCCAAAAACCTTGTACTATTTGTAAAAAATCATTTACTCATGAAGAAACAGCAACCCAGAAAAGTTAGCTGAACTTGTCCAAAGACACACAGTTGGTTCTGGGAGGAGATGGAGAGCTCAAACTCTTACCCAGGAAGCCAGGACACCCACTTCAAATCACAGTGGGGAGTAGGGAAGAAACAGTGACTAGAAATGGTGTTTTCAAGGTGTTTGGTAGGAAAATAAGAAGGGAGATGTGATAGTCCCCTGATGAGGACAAGTGGTTTTCAGGTTTTTTTTCACTAATTAAAAACGGAAGTGATGTTTTTGCACTGAAAGGAAATCTCCCTTGGAGTTGCACTGCCCAATACGGCAGCCACTAGCTACATGTGACTACTCAAATTTAAATTAATTGAAGTTAAATAAGATTTGAAATGCACTGCCTCAGTCCCACGAGCTGCAGTCCAAGTGCTCCTAGTGTCACATAGCTTGTGGATTTCCACCGTGACAGAAAGTCCCATTGGACAGCACTTCCCTAGAGACCAGCAAGCTGGTGATATGCAGAAGTGGGGATGACAGGTGTAATAAGGTCCCCACATATAAGGGAGGGGAGGGCAGGCAGGATAGAGATAAGGAAAGTAAACAAATCATCTTGCTTCCAGGATTCTCCCCGTTTTAGCATGGAAATCTGCATCCTAGCAGCACCGTGTGTAAGGAACGACCTCAGGACAGCTGGTCGCTTTGAATGGCTGGGGGACGGTAGGCAAGGTCCCTGGGAAGCACAAGTTGCCAAAGGAGAGATGAGAGCACTCACTCAGCAGAATGGAGGGGATCCGGGCTGAGTGTGCCCACGTGGGGGATGGTCAGGGTCATAGTCAGTTCTAGATCCCGCAGACGTTGACAGTGCTTAAGACAAAAGGCAGACACTTGCATGTCTTTCTTCTTGCTGATGATCAAAGCAGCCTTCTGACAATCGCTTAGGGTCTGACGCACAAATGCCTCCTCCTGGATCTCATGCAGACAGTAGAACAGCTGCGGGACGCCGTGGTGCAGTGTGGGTGGGCCACATTCATGCAACAGGGCTGCCACTTTCAGCAACTTCTTCTTGTTGCCCAGGGACAGCTTGCATCCAAATGACTTCCCTGCAGCTGAAGCGCACGTTTCGTTTAAAAGGCCAAATAAGAAGAGCCCCATCTGAGCAAGATAGTTTTTCTTTCTTCCGGGATATGCTATCAGGCGTATGATCTGAACACGGTCCAACACCCGGAAATTTCTGAGTTGTTGTGGGAAGCACAGAACGTACAACAAGGCAGCAAAAAACTCCTGGAAGCTTAGAGTGGCAAATGCATAGCGGTCTCCGTCGCCTGCCACCCTTTGAAAAATATTCACACGGAGAAAAGTAGCAACAGCGGTCTCATCTAGCTTGGCCTGCTCGAGGTCTTTCGTGTCAAACACCCATCTCATGTTCCACATGCCCTCTGCGGCCAAGTAACACAGACCTGCCAGTCGTGTCTGATGAGTGTTCCTGGGAGGGCTTCGAGGCTTGGTGGCAAAGAAGCCAGACAGATACTGGACAAATACAGCTGTGGCGTTTGGATATGCCTGTGCAAGGTCTGCTCCTCTCTGCATCTGCTGTTTCAGACAGGAACACACCATCCAGCAAACTGCAGGGACCTGACACATGGAGAAGAGAACTGTGTTTCCCGTGACAAACCTCAAGGCTTCATCAGCATCCCTCTTGTTTCCGAAATATGTCCTGAAGTACTTGGCTCTTTCTGCCATACTAAACCCCGTGAGTGTTATGAAAGAGGGGTGTTTCAGGAAGGGCTTGAGCTTCCTCCAAGATGTGAACCTGAAGGTGATCAGTAAGGTGGCTTCGGGAAGCATTCTTTTGCTCAGCAGACTAGCCAGGAGGACAGGCCCGGGCAATTTCTGGATCCAGTCATCACTCAGGTCAGCTGGTCTATCCGTGAGGGTCAGTGACACTTCCTCAAAGCCATCAAAGAGGAGCAGAAGTTGGTCTGGTTTGGACATAATCTTGGACATGAGAGACTGTGACCCAGGCCACTTACGGGCAATCAGCTCTGCGAAGCTCTGCTCATCCACCTGAGCCATTTCCCGGCAATGGAAGTAGAAAGCACACTGGAACTTGTGGCGGTAGAACTTGTTTTCCGCCCACTCCAACATCACCTTTTTGGCCAAACTTGTTTTTCCAACCCCAGCGACTCCCTGTAGGACCACAGTCTTGGGCTGTCTGGCTTGAGGTCTTTTGGGAAGAAAAAGGCATGGTAAGAACCTCTCGTGTCTCTCTATGTCTTGGTAGAAGAAGTCTGCATGGCTCCCAGACCAGGTGGTCATCGTCCGTGTCATGGAATACTCATCTGTCACGTGCACTTTGTACGCCTGTATTTTATCTAGATTAGCAGGGTGGGAGAGAGACAGGGTACAGGGTCAGAGCTGTGTACGAGAACTGATCGAATGAGAAGAAAGCTAGCCTTGACATCTACATCAAGTCCCATGACACACTTTCACATTTCATGCTCTTTTCCTGACAGCCCTACACCAATAAAGAAGCCGTGGGTAATCAGAAAAGTCAATCTGAAGTGACTTAAACAGAAAAGGGCTGCTTTTTCCTTAAGAAATAGGGGGATCTGTGTGTAAAGCTGTTGAAATGGGTGGGGTGGTTTTGTAGCTTCAGGGCCAAGTAACACCACATTTCTGTAAGTACGCCCTTTGCACCTCTTGCTTCATGATGAGAGGATTGCTATTGTAGTTATGTTATCATTATGTCGTGAGTTATATTTGCATTCAAAGCAGAAATCGTGGGGAGAAGGGACATGTTCGCAGGTCATGTATACTTCCATCAGTACAAACCGAAACACTCAGGAGGCTTCTACTTGTATCTCATGGCCTAGAGCCATCAGATGGTTAACCCCAACTTTAAGGAAACCTGGAGAAAAAGTATTTCCCTTAGGGCTGGGTCCATTTTATCCCTAAATAAATTGGATTCTGTCAACACAGGAGATGTGGGCTAGGGAGTTAATAGGATCTGTCACAGCCTTTATCTCAACCTGTGATTCTCTCTCCCCTCCCCTCAACAGGAAAGTTTACAAATTATACATGATGTCTCACTCTGACTTCCTTCCCTCCACCTCCAGCTGATAGATAGGAGGAAGCTTACTGCAAGTTCAAGGTCTACTTACTGGATTTATGAGGGTAAGCAAGTCACAGAAGCTCTAAGACTCGAGCCTGCCGTCTCCAAAATAAGTAGACTTTACAACTCTGGCTCAGACTGTGGTGTCAGAACCGTCAGCCCTCTAGTGTTTGTTGAATGGCTAGAACTGGGGATCCCATACCCCACTTTCCGTGTGCTTTCCTAACAGATTAGAGTGTTGCCCTGGGGCCCTCAGCTCCTTTTGACCTCATCTCTTCATACAACCTGACTGGGAAGCGCAAACTTGATTCACATGAACAGAATTCTTTCTCGAATCCAACTTTTGATGCTTCAGGATGGTGGAGTGGAGAAGAGGAGGGATTAAGGTACTTGCTGTTTTTTTTTTTTTTTTTGCCTACCAACTGTTCCCATCTGGCAACAGCACTGCAGTGGTTCTCCGGAAAACCACCCCTGGCCACTCTTGGTCTATTCTGTTGGGCTGTGGGTGGCCCTACCACCAAGCTCTCTCTGAAGTACATGGGCCAGTCTTAACGAACCAGGGCGCTTCATCATTTCGTTCATTGTTGAGCTCGTGACCAGTTCATTCACAGCTGAATCAGTTCAGGGATGAGTGCTTGGAGAAATGAGAAAATACTCCTCTTTCTGCCGATGGTGCTAAGCAGGCACAGTGTATGGGGGAGGTAGCTGGTGGTCAAGATGGCCACTGTGGTAGGAGGGACCACTCAAGGCTGAGTCCCACGGAAAAAGAGGGAGCCAGGAGAAGGACAGAAGTGATGTCTCCTTGACATCACTCAATGCCTCCCGCTGGGCTAGTGGCTGGACTTCTGAGTTAGGTGTGTCCGTAACTACTCTTTTTTCTTAAAATTCTGATTCATTGAACAGACACTGACATACTAATTTACTATCTGTCTCGCCCCAGAAACTGAGCTTCTCACCCCAACCCAAAGCCCGGTTTCCTCCAGGCTTTGTCACAATGCCAGCACATACCAGATTCTCCTTCCTCCAAATTCACTGGCATTTCTCTTGGGTTTGAGTCCTCGGGCTCCAGGTTGGGCAGAATGTCTGGAACAGACAAGAAAGGAGACTGTCGCACCGGAATGACGGACAAGACAGGGAAAGCCACATGGAAGCAACAGGCCCTTTCAGGATAGGATCCCAGAGTCCCATTCTCTCACCAACTTAGTCCAGGGTGAAGAAAATGGCCTAGACTCCACCATGATGCTAGGAAGTAAGAAAATGGTGCTGTTCTAGGATGTACTGAAGAAGTATTCAATAACATAAATCGATAGCTCATCCAAACACAGAGGGAGTGATACACACAAACACACATGCATATGTGTTTATGAGATACATGCACACTTTAAAATCTATGAGTGTGCACATATATGTGTGCGTGTGTCTGTGTTACATATTTAGATGTATATGAAAATAATCATGTGTGTACACACACACATAGTCACTAACTCCTCTTACTCGGGCTATTTAAGTTCTATAAAATTACTGTAAATATTCAAATAACCAATACCGTGCCCCCATGAATACAGGGTTAGATTCCTGTAGCCTCTGCTTACAACATTTCGGCTCTTCAATGCATAACCACGGTCTACGTGTGTTTTTGTTTAAAGAAATCTTATTCAATATGTATTATTGATTCATGAACATCCCTTCACCACCACACTTGGGGGACAGGTTAAACAACAACGAGATACACAGAAACATAAAAAAAGTGACACCAAATAGACTGTGGAAAGGACACTGATTTACAGGATGAGGGCACAGGTCAGAAGGCAGAGCACTGCTTTATTCAGCTGCATCTGGGAACATCAGTGTCCAATTTTTCTCCAACCTACATGTCCATAAATGACTATGAAAGTGCCACAATGACTGATCTTGGAGTTAAAATAAGTTTTAGTGAATAGGCAAATTCACACACATGGAACCCATCAATAATGAAGATAGAGTATCTACAGATACCAGATAAGCAGTATCTGGTTAAGTTTTTTAAAACTATGCTAATGTGATGGTCTTTGGGTTTGGGGGTTGGTCATCATCATACTCCACTATTTGCCTTCTTGTTCAGGTGGCCAGTATGGGTACCCAGTAAAGTATTTAGTTCTTTAATACTCAAACCCGTTCCCATTTTAAAAAAAGATTTTGTTTATTGTGCACCCCAATGTTCCTGGCAACCATGGCCACAATAGCCAAATGTGGAAGGAGCCGAGATGCCCTTCAACAGACAAATGGATAAAGAAGATGTGGTGCATATATACAATGGAATATCACTCAGCCATCAGGAAGGAAGAACACCCACCATTTGCATCAACATGGATGGGACTGGAGGGGATTACGCTGAGTGAAGTAAGTCAAGCAGAGAAAGACAATTATCATATGGTGTCACTCAGATGTGCAACATAAGGAATACTGCAGAGGATCATAGGGAAGGGAGGGAAAACTGATGGGAAGAAATCGGAGAGGGAGACAAACCGTGGGAGACTCTGGGAAACAAACTGAGGGTTTCAGAGGGGAGGGGAATGAGGGGAGGGGGTAAGAAAGTGATGGGCATGAAGGAGGGCATGTGTTGTGATGAGCACTGGGTGTTATATGTAACTAATGAATCACTGAACACGACATCAAAAACTAATGATGTACTATACAGTGCCTAACTAAACATAATAAACATTTTTAAAAGATTTATTTATTTATTTGCTAGAGAGTGAGAGAGGATACAAACCAGGGGAGTGGCAGGCAGAAGGAGAAGCAGGCTCCCTGCTGAGCAAGGAACCCAATGTGGGACTCCATTCCAGGACCCTGGGATCATGACCTGAGCCGAAGGCAGCTGCTTAACTGACTGAGCCACCCAGGTATCCCCCCAGCCCCGTTTTATATACCAGATTACTACTCACAATTTAGCTCCATCTGTACCCGAAGACACAATTCTGTCTGGTTCATCTTGGCAAAGATGTCATGAGTCACATCCCAAGCTAGTCGTCCGGGGAAGAACTCCATCAAGAGATGAACAACCTCTCCCCATCTGGCTGTCTTGACCTGGTCCCAGGTGATCTGGACTGATCCAGGCCTGGGGTTCTCATCCACTAAAAGCTGCTTGAATGTTTGCAGACCCTCCTTGCTTAAATAGGCCATGTACAGCATGACTCCATTTTCAAAAGGAGAGTTGGAGGAGGCAGAGGACTTCAAGGATGACATTAAATAACAAGGAGAAGGAGAGCTAGAAGAGGAAGAGGAAGAACAGGGGGAAGACTGAGAGGAAGAGCTGGAGGAAGAGCAGACAAAAGGGCCAGACTTCAGATCTACATCACTCATCTCCACTCAAGACCTAGAACCTTAGTGCCAGTGATGATGCCAGTCAGTTGGAAGAGAGAACAGACAAGACCTGTGGAGACATGAAAATATAAGTAAATGAAAACCCACTCAAGAAGACAGATTTATCTAATCCATATCTGGTAGAGTATACAATGCACCAGATACTCTCTTTAGCTCCTTCCCCCTCAAGGTTCTTTGCTTGTGGAAAAACCTAAGGACCTGTCCAGTATTCAGGCTTAGGGTTTGGACTTAAATCCATTCTGTAGTTTTTATTCTTGATGTCATGTATTAGCAAGGTAAGTGGCCAAATCACAGCACCTCTCTGCCTCTTTTCTGATCTTTGATCCTGGGACCAGAGCATACCTGTTGATGGGGGTGTGAGGATTCTGAAAGAGACAAATCTATAGGTACACTTGGAGCTGTGCCAGGCACACAATAGCTAACATTTATTTGGGGCTTACATGTATGCCACAGTTACTTCATTTTATTATTATTAATTATGATGTTATGTTAGTCACCATAAGTATGTCATTAATTTTTGATGCAGTGTTCCAAGATTCATTGTTTGCATATAACACCCAGTGCTCCCTGCAAAACCAATATCCTCCCTAATACCTATCACTGGGCCAACCCATCCCCTTACCAACTGCCTCTCTAAAACTCTGTTTGTTTTTTGGAATCCAAAGTCTTTCGTGGTTGGTCTTCTCTTCCGATTTCCTCCCCTTGTTTTCCCCTTCTTTCTTTTAATGTCCTCCATGTTATTCCTTATATTCCACAACATAGTAAAGCCACATGATCATTGACTTTCTCTGCTTGACTTATTTCACTCAGCGTAATCTTTTCCAGTCCCGTCCATGTCGTTGCAAATGGTGGGTGGGTATCCATCCTTTCTGATGGCTGAGTAATAGTCCACTGTATATATGGACCACATCTTCTTTATCTATTCATCTGTTGATGGGCATCTTGGCTCTTTCCACAGTTTGGCTATTGTGGACATGGCTGCTATGAACACTGGGGTGCATATGGCCCTTCTTTTCACTTTATCTGTATCTTTGGGGTAAATGCCCAGTAGTGCAATTGCTGGGTCATAGGGTAGCTCTATTTTTAATTCTTTGAGGAAACTCAACACTGTTTTCCTGTGGGGAATAGACTGCAAGTTGACACGGTCCTTGCAGTCAAAGGAACTTTACCAAAGGCTAGCTCTCGCAATCCCTGCTGGTCACTCACTATTTGGTTTGGCTTACATAAGCACTCTGGGTCAAGCTGACATGGTTCTTGAGTTCCTCTGTAAATATGCTTGAATGAACTTTTGTTTTAAAGCAAGGCGGCTACATGGGACTTGTGGTCATCTGACCTCAAGTTCCTTGAAAACATTCTTGTTATTGAACCATAAAATAAGGTCTCTCATGCATTTTGGGGGTCCACTGGGTTATCAGCCCATGGAGACCTCCCAATCCCAGCTTTCTGACTCTTGTCTTTCTTAATTCCCCACCATTCTCTCTTGTTCTTCCCTTGGACTTCTCATGCTGGTCTGTGACATTTTCCTACGTGGCTACACTAACTTGCATTCCCACCAACAGTGTAAGAGGGTTCCCCTTTCTCCACCTCCTCTCCAACACTTGTTGTTTCTTGCCTTGTCAATTTTTGCCATTCTAACTGGTGTAAGGTGGTATCTCAATGTGGTTTTGATTTGATTTTCCCTGATGGCTAATGATGATTTTAAAGATTCAATGGGAATTTATAAAAAGTATCTGGAATCAAAGGCATGTTGTTCCTCTCCATCCACTGTCTCATCCTTCTTTTGTCTTCCTTCATGATTATTATGAGCAAGAAGTGGAATGTGGAGAGGAAGAAAGAAAACAATGACATTGCCAGCAGGGGAGAGACTCACTTCTTAGTCAACCTGCTGCTTACATACAATTGCTCCTCTGAATTTTCATTGTTACCATCTTTTAATCCTTATCCCCATCATCTGAGAACTTGCTGTATATTTCCCTTAAGTCATCATGTATTGGGCACTAACTCGATGTTTTATTTCCTTTGACTCACTGCAATGATTTTGAACCTTTGAAGGCCCCTGCGGATGCTTTTTTTAAATTTTCAGCATAACAGTATTCCTTGTTTTTGCACCACACCCAGTGCTCCATGCAATCCGTGCCCTCTCTAATACCCACCACCTGGTTCCCCCAACCTCCCACCCCCCACCCCTTCAAAACCCTCAGATTGTTTTTCAGAGTCCTTAGTCTCTCATGGTTCACCTCCCCTTCCAATTTCCCCCAACTCCCTTCTCCTCTCTAACAAATAACAAATAGCATGGAGGACAAGGGGAGTTAGAGAGGAGAAGGCCCCTGCGGTTGCTTAAGCAAGCACCCAGCTTTCACCTCCACTCTTGGATTCTGTCATTCCTGATAGGTGAGCAAAAAAGCCTACATTAAGAAAAAAACATCTCAACCCAACTTTTCACCTCAAGGAACTAGGAAGAGAAGAACAAACTGAGCCCCAAGTTAGCATAAGGAAGAAAATAATACAGATCAGAGCAGAAATAAAGACAGGAAAGACATTAGAAAAGATCAATGAAACTAAGAGTTGTTGCAGTATTATATGCAAACAATGATCATGGAATACTACATCAAAAACTAATGAGGTACTGTGTGGTGACTAACATAACATAGTAAAAAAAAAAGATAAAATTGGCAAAGCTTTAGCTTGACTAACCATGAGAAAACAGAGAGAGGGGATTCAAAATCTGAAATAAAAAAGAAGACATTAATACTGGTACCACAGAAATACAAAGGATCATGAGAGATCACGATCAACAATTACACATCAATGAACTGGATAAAGAAAAAGAAATGGATAAATTTCTAGAAGCATACAAGCTACTGAGATTGAATCATGAAGAAATGGAAAACAGGTGCAAATCATTAACAAGTAAGGAGATGGAATTAGCAATCAAAAATCTCCCCCAAAAGAAAAGCCCAGAGCCAGATGATTTCCCTGGTGAATTTCGCCAAATATGGAAAGAAGAGTAATACTAATCTCAAATTCTTCCAAAAATTGAAGAGGAAGGAACACTTCCAAACTGATTTTATGAGACTAACATCACTCTCATACCAAAGCCAGATAAGAATAAAATATCTGGTTATAAATTTCATCAAGGAGGTGAAAGAGCTGTATGTGGAAAACTATATGACATTGATTAAAAAAAATGGAAGACACAAATATATTAAAAGATCCCATGTTCTTGGATTGGAATACTCAATATTGTTAAAATGTCCAAACTACCCAAAGCAATTTATGGATTCAATGCAATCCCTATCACAATTCCAATGGCATTTTTCACAGAAATAGAAATAACAATCCTAAAATTTGTATGGAACTACAAAACACCCTGAAAAGCTAACACAATCACTATATATATATATATATATATATATATATATATATATACACACACACACACACACACACACACACACACACACACACAATTTTGAGAAAGAACAACAAAGTTGGAGGCATCACACCTCTCAATTTCAAGTTATATTATGAAGCTATGGTAATCAAAACAGTATGGTACTGGTATAAAAACAGACACAGACCAGTAGAACAGAGTCTAGAGCCCAGAAATAAATGCATGCATATATGGTCAACTAATAACTGAAAATGAAGCCAAGAATGTACAATTGGGAAAGGATAATCTCTTCAATAAGTGTTGGGAAAATTGGATACCCACATACAAAGAAACGAAATTGGACTCTTACTTACACCATATGCAAAAATTAACTCCAAAGGGATTAAAGACTTAAATGTATTGCCTGAAACTGTAAAGCTCTGAGAAGAAAACGTATGGGAAAGTCTCCTTAACATTAATATTGGCGAAGATTTTGGGCAAATCTCAGGCAACAGAGCAAAAACAAAACAATGAGACTATATCAAACTAAAAGGCTTGTACACACAGCAAAGGCAACCTACAGGATAGACTAAAATATTTCCAGATCATAAATGTGATAAGCATTAACATCCAAAATATATAAAGAACTCATACAACCCAATGAAAAACAAAAACAAAACAACAGCAACAACATAAAACTGAAGCAAAAACCCCATTAAAATGGGCAAAGGCCCTAAGTTAGTATTTCTCCAAAGATGTAGAAATGAACAAAAGATACATGAAAAGATGCTCAACATCACTACTTATTAGGGAAATGCTAACAAAACCACGAGATATATCATACCTGTTAAGATGACTATTACCAGAAAGGCAAAAGACAACAGGTGAGGATGTGGAGAAAAGGGAACCCTGGTGCACTGTTGGTGGGAATGTAAGTTGGTACAGCCAATATGGAAAACAGTATGGAGGCTCCTCAAAAAATTAAAAAATAGAACTATTTTATGATCCAGCAATCCCCCTTCTGGGTATGCATCTAAAGGAAATGAAATCAGTATCTTGAAGATATATCTGCATCCTCATGCTCACATTATTCGCAGTAATTCCAAGATATGGAAACAGTCTACGTGCCCATCAGTGGACAAATGGGTAAAGAAAAGGAGGTTTATATACAATGGGTTATTATTCAGCCATTAAAAACTAGGAAGGCCTGCCATTTACAACATACAACACTATGAACGAACCGGATACAGAAAGGTAAATACTATGTGATCTCACTCATCTGTGGAATCTGAAGTGATGAACTCATAAAACCAGAGAGCAGAATAAGAGTTGCCTGGGGAAATGGGGAGATTTTGGCCAAAGGGTACAAACTTTCAGTTATGAATTAGTTTTGGGGAATTTAATGTACAGTTGGTGACTGTAGTCTATCACGTAGATCCTTTCTCCTCCATTTTACAAAGGAGAAAAAATGAGCTTTACGTAGGTTAGC